TACAACTATTTCCATGACCAATCTATATATTCCTAAGTATAAAAGCTCCCTGATGAAAGCTTGTTTCAGCAGTACGCCCTGATCGTGACGCGACCGGACGACATTATCAAGGCCGACAGCGTCGGTCCAAGTTGAGTGCTGATGATGAAGGCGAAGTGGATGCCGAGTGGATTCGCAAACTTCCTGTTGATATGCGAACGACGCTTATGCAAATCATGAATATCGACTTAATGGTAAGCTTGTCCCACGTCGTAATACCTGCCAATTGAGTGTGGTCGCGGCACGGCTCTTCTCCTGCGTACGAAAGCGAAAGGAAACCGCTTTTGTTCTGTGGAACTTTGTATTCACTACTGATTAGCTCAGGTGGGAAGCGGTGATGGAAACAGGGACGGTATGGCGATGTATCCATTGAACTTCACGTCGATACGTCAGTTGCTTGAAGATCCTTCGGTATTGGACGGAAAACGCACCGAGGTTTGTGAGTAATTAGAGCACGTTTTAGCTATGTAGCATGTTTATTTTTTGAAAGCTGGCATCTGGTGGTAGTGGAGGTAAGCTGCATGCATGCTCAGCGAACTTGGATCCAGCCGTTATGTTAAACATACATATCGATTGCTAGTGTGTGTCGCTCAGTCAGTCCCAGTGCTGAAGCTGGTTCCTCTGCTTGCCTGCGTCTCCTGTACACACTAGCACTATTTCAATTGCAACTGAGCGATGAAGCAAAACTGCCGGATTTTCATCTTTCAGTGGCTGCGTGGTCGCCGAGTGTTAATCCAGATCGCTGCAATTTTGACTAAAAACGACAGGAATGCCATAATTCCCACTTTCAGATGCGTTACGACTCCTTCCGAGAAGTTGAAGCTGGTGAACTGCCTGCTGTTGCTCATAGGAATTTGCTGTCTGCAATCGACTGGGTTGATCATCTGTTCGATATCATTGATATTCAGAATCTTGACGATAAGGTCAGTTAGAGTGAAAGTAATATATTTAGAGGAACAGCTTTTTGGAGAACTAAGAAGATACGTCATAGGTAGGAGTAGAAGGAAAAGATGGATTCAAGGAGTTACCGAAAAGGTTAGGGTCATTCAAAAACGGTATAGAGAGATGGAGCGTCAATTGTCCGACCTCGGGAATAGTATTTGCGATTGTTGGGCGGGGGTCTTATTCAGGGCCGAAGAGGTTCAGGGGTCGCATTCTCTAGAAATCAAAGGGTCACCATACGGTGAGGGGGTCATTTTGACGGGTTTTAGTACATTTTGTCATAAAAAAATTCAGAAAATAAGTGGGCAGAATCAGAGCATTTTATGTTTTGGCCTTATCCATCCTGCCACCGCACGACGGCAAGGCCAGTTATTGAAGGCGTATCAACTGATATTGACGGTGTATGCGGTGGTTAGCTAGTGGATAGGGCGGAGGTGATAGGGGAAGGGGAAGGGGCTATGAAGTGGTGGCCCTCTCATGTGTGGTGGTAGGAGTCCTTTCAAAGAGCCTCGGAGAAGGGGGGGGAGGAGGAGTCCTCAAAATTTTTAAAAATGCCTGAACGCCACTGCAGACCCCGAGAACGGATGGAGTCCTGCTAGACCCCAAACTTTCCGCAACGTAAACATTGGCAATGCCCTGAGCTTGCGAGGACTGGCAGCAGGGTGAATATCGGTCGAGGATTCCTCAACGGCACGTCGAGGATTTTCGCCTGATCAGTTACGTTCTCCCGCGCGGACATTCACACTCGCCATGCGCGAGCCGTCTGTGCTCTCCGCGCGTACGTTCACTCTCGGCACTACTCTCGCACAGTAGAGAGCCATGGTCGAGGAATTTCCTCGACCGTTATTCACCCTGGTAGTCACGGTGGTACAGTATAATGGTACAGTATTCGAACTGCTCTACAGTAATCGTTGTGTTTTCAAGGTAGCGACGGTGAAGCACTGCTTTGCTCCGTTGATGGTGTTCGGCTACAGCGTGGTGACGGCAAAGAACACCAAACAACCCGATATTGTGTGTGTTTGCAACTTTGGTCACGTCAAACGGGATTGCTGTCTACGGTGGACTGAACCATAGTAGGTAACTAAACACCAAGAAAAGAATTTTTACTGATATTGTTTGTTCCCGTCGCGCAACGCGTAATCAAGCGCTCGTCGCGCGCGCGCAAAACTGCGCGCCATGCCGCGCGCTTTTCGCGCTCACTGCGAGCGGTTGATTTACACGGCGCACAGCGAGGTCAAACGATGTACACCTATTTTTCAACGTATTTTGTAATTAAACGCATCTTATGTAAATACTTATGTTTTTGATGGGATTCAAAAAATCGGTATAGACCTTCGGAGTGCGCCATGCACGCGTGCTTTCCTCATTTTTACGAACGCCACTTTGCCATAAATGGCGCCTACCGAAAGTTCTTTAGCGTAATCGCTCTTACTTCAAAGTGAATATGAAATTGCTCCAAGTATTACAGTCACTTCGCAAATCGCCTGGCTGAACGCTCCATCGACGAGTTGATAAGTCCGTTCCGTCGGATGAACATCAAGGAAGAGGAAGCCGCTTTGATGAAGGCGATCATCATTGCGAATCCGTGTGAGTTTGTGAACAAATTCAAAAATCTAAGATG